CTATAGTAGGGCTGTACAGTAGGGGAAAGTGTACCGGTAAAAATCCCGGCCCCGAAAAGCTAGCGAAAAGTGTAAGGGCCGGGATTTTTGAGTCCCGGGTGGTGCAGTGGCCACGCCCAGCGCTACGCCCCGCCGCGCTCCCCGCTACTTTCTGCGCAGCGAGCCAGGCTTGAAGATAGGTATGATCCTGGATAGGGTACGCATATAGTCAATGGTGACAGATGATCATCTGACTGCTACACAATTCCTGTCTGATTGAAGGTGTTGCTGTCAATTCAATGACATGATAAACAATTTCTTGCTCTTTGCTTGACTCTGAATTGAGCCTCAACTTGATTGAATTGTAAAGTCTACACCATCATTCAGGAAGTGTAAGGATGGGAATGCCTGCCTATGGTCTAGTTACCATGGTATATCAACATTTGGGAACAGACCCAGAAGTGACAGGTGGAAGAACAAGTGAGATGGAGTTGTAAAACTGGATTGGTCAATCTACTGGAATGATGTCAAGGGAGATCTTATAATTTGCTCTCTGTTGAGAAGTTCTCCTTTTAAAATTGGTATTGTCTTAAGACAATTCCATCATTTTAGTACTGCAAAAAACTGTAAGAGTCTGATACCTCTATGGATCACCTCAAAAGAAATAATGTTGAGATTCTATCATGAGAGAAAATGAACTACATGAACTACTTTTAGTCTTGAGCTTTGGTTTCTAAAACTATGTTCACCAGCATTCATAGGGTTCACACATCCTTGACTCTCTCAATCCACACCGCTGTTACATGGTGTTTGATGAAGTGGGAAATAGAAGTGCATGATTTGAGGATGGAGACCATTGAAAAATTCCACATGAGTCTGATTTTTTATGCATAGGAACTTTTCAGAATGTGATAGACCTTACTGAGAAGTTAAAAAGAAGGGGCAGGAAGATTCTGGGGGATCAATTTTCATTTTCAGCCGTACTACTGAACAAGCTCCATGTGGATCTACCAGTATATGCAGCCCATGCATATCCCCCACTTGACCTGAATTGGAGGTCAAAGTGATATTGGACAGACATTGTATTGATATGAAATTGAGATTGAATTGAGATTGAATTGAGGTGAATGGAACTCACTGGCCTGCCAGTGAGTAGTAGAATTTCACTGTGACTCCAAAGGCACTTCTATCTCTTGTTTCCAACATCGCCAAATTCAAAGTTGACTCAAAAGGCCTAACAGCCTTAGTCCTCGTATCCTACTGGGTATTAGGTAGACTGTTCAAGCTGGTCTACAAATTGTTAGATTACAACAGACACGATCACAGAGCTATACTCCGGTCAGACGTATGCTTTTACACCAAGGCCAACAATAAATTTGCTGAGATCAATTTACAGAAATCAAAAACAGCCTTACCAGGAGAGACACAGGTGGTAGTGATGTGTGCTACAGGTGGAGTACTTTGCCCATTAGAGGCCTTGAGAAGACTAATCACCTGCCTGGAGAGAGTCAAGGACCCTAGATTATTCATGACGTGGGGAGAGAGAGGGACGACCGCAATAACGAGGCAACTCATGACAAAAGTAATGGAGAGATCTTTGGGGGAAGACTTCTAATTTATCCGGACACTCATTCCGGATTGGTGGTGCAACGCTCCTCACTAAGGCAGGAGTCAGCCTCAACGCTATAAAAGACCTTGGACGTTGGAAGTCCGCTTGCCACACGCTGTACCAGTGTGAATGGAGTGAACAGGAATGGATGACTGTGAAACACATTTTGCAGATTACTAAAGACATAATCCCTATCTATGATTAAAGCTCCATTCACCTGGGGTACTGTCCACACCACCCAATGCACCATATCCCTCCTTTTTTATTTGTATTCACCCCCCTATTTCTCTTTCATTTGAGCTGTAAATTATTGCCACAACCTCTTTATTATTACATATGTTTCCTGTGATGTGATCCTCTTCAATGATTAACACTCTTCTTAAAAAGAACCAACACAATGTGCAAGCAACAGGGCAGGGGAAAGCCTACTTTTGGCTCAGGCCTGTCACCCAAGAATGGGGAAAGATAGACTCCCCCTCTTCCCCTTGAAGTGATAATTCAGCTAGAAGCAATCTCCCTTTAGTAGACAGTTCAACAACGAACTCTCCTCGAGGTGAAAGGTACATTCAGTAGAGAGTTCAAAACTTCTCTCCAAGAAGAACTCTCCACAACAAATTTACCTACATGTAGCTAGACTTTTCCAGGTTTCAGGGAAGTAGTAGCCCTCCCTGAAACCTACTGCCAACATCTATTCCTCCCCTCACTTAGTATAAAAAAACTAAGCAAGGGAAGGAAAGGCCTATTGAGAAAATATAAGAGTTACAATTAGGAATGAATCATCTAGTTACACCATAGAGATCTAAAATAGATGGAGTATGACCTAATATGAAGCATTGATGATCAATTGGTACCGTTTCAGCCTTGCAACAAATGCCTTCCACCATAAATATCTTGCTGTTCAGCTTGGTGTTGCTCTATATTAGAGGTTATATGCAGGAGTTGATTGGCAAGAAGCATCAATCAGTTTCATGCGTAAAGACTTTTGGTTTCTGGGCAATGAAACCACATCAAAGCAATTGCCTCAGGCTTTGAAGTGTTCTGATGCTTTGACTTACAACTGGATAGTTCCACGTGTCCAACTGATTGATTTTTTTTGTGAAAAACTTGCTTGCTTGCTGCCTGATAATTCTAGAGGGGGTGATGAGAGACGCAGTTTACTTTGAGTCGCGAGTCCGGAAAGGACTAGTGTTGGAGAAGGTTGGTCCAGATGCTGGTCCTGGCTCAGAACAGGAGTGTTGAGGCTTGATGTGTATGCTGTCTGTTCTGATGAGACAGACAAAGACTTTTAGTTCAAGTGTAGATAAGAGTGGCCGGGTGAAAAGACTCAACCTTTTGATCAGGTTGGGGTCATCAGGGCCAACGGACTATGTAGCTCAAATGTGTACCTGTAGTACTAATGTGTTTACCCATAATAAGTTCTCTCTACAATAGGAAAAGAAGGATGTATGTACTATTCTATACTAAGTAATTTTACAGGTGAGCATAGAAAAGTATTTTATATGAGTATAGAAAACACTTTTCTATGTGCAAAGTATTTTTCTATACCCCTAGGAAAAGATGACTTTGGTGTAGTGTTTGTATTGAAAAGACTATGAATGAGATGATTTAGAGTCTGTACAGACACGAGATTGAATTTAGGCGGTAGCTGGGCTCATAACCTTTTGAGTTCTGGAGCAGCACGAGATGAGACAGAGGAAAGGCATGAGTATGATTTCATATGAGAACCAAGAGAAAATCACAAAGAGAGAAAAAGACAGAAAAGCCTACCTGGAGCATCACAAGATGAGACAGAGGAGAGGTGAAGAAAGAGCACCTCTCCTTCCGCTGCTCCAGTAGGATTATATAGTGAAACTGAAATTGGAACTTTCACACAACTGACATGTTTTAAAGCACAGCAAATGACAAATGAGTAAGTCTTGCAGGACTGAAATGGACAGATTGGATATAATCATATTTGATATGTCACACAGGACAATGACACACACGAGTTAGTCACACAGGACAATGACACACACGAGTTAGTCACACAGGACAATGACACGCACAAGTTAGTCACACAGGACTGGATGACCGTAGAACTATCCCAACACTGCCTGGCTGTGGTGTGACAGACAACATGCTGGCCAAAGGCTTGGCAGCTGGCAGGGTTCCTGATGCAAAAGTACATATTCGAATTGAAGTAATCCACAATCAAAGATATCTGATTGTGAAGAAAAACAATCCTTGATTGTAAGAAGTAAACCTTGATGAGAAGAGAACCCATGAAAAAGATGTGCAAAGAACTCAAGACAAAGAAGAATCAGAATTTGGACAAGCAGGGATTCAACAAGTAGAGTGTCAAGATGGGTCAGGGCTATATGGGTGGGATCCATGAGATTTAGTAGAGGGCACACAAGCCTGAGAATTAGGATCTGGGAATGAGGCCGTTGATTGAGACTTTTGTGATGTTGTGTGTTTTCAGTGCATATGCAAAACAAATGAAAAAATGGAAGTATGAAAGGAATAAATATAAGGGAGCTTGAGGTATCAAAAACAGAAAAGATAAACAAGAGTAATATGACAAAGAGAAGTATCAAATGAATCAAAGGAATAGGAAGTATTGAAGGAATATGAGGAAGTGGAGGTATCAAATAGATAACATCCAAGACATGATAGAAGGAATGAGTGGGAAGAAAGGGATGGGAGGATGTATTTACCAATCCCTTGCTAGTTGGTACCTGTCACAGAGCCAACTGGGAAATCTTGATTAGGATTTGAAGAGTCAGAAAAGGCAGAACAAAGAAATGGTCAAAAAAAGTGCTGAATTAGGAATGTGGGAATGATAGAAAAGAAATAAAATTCCTACAGGTTTACCACACTACAGTGCAGTCAGACCATATCCTGTTGGACCGCAGCCTGCATGTTCTAGACCATACCACACCACATCAACAGCCGTAGTTATCTGTGGTCCGGTTTGTGTGTTGCCAGGTGATATGTGCCTTGATCAACAAACTCTAGAGTAGAGTGTTGTTAGCTTGGGCATGGAACTAGACTGTAGTTTCTACTCTTCATCCTGCGGGAAGACTTCTTATCTTGCATCAATTCAAGGTCACCTAACCAAAGTCAGTGCTAATTTGATCACACTACTTCATTTCCAACCTTGTTTAGAACTTTAAACAAGTTTTCTAGGCACATAATCAACATAGTTCATTATCCAAACCTTTTTCTATAGTGAGTTACTAGTCTAAAAGACATCAGGAGCTCACAGGCAAGAAATGGGCCTGATTGTTTTGTCATATTCACTTGATCTGTTGGTTAATGCATTCAACCCCACTCACTACTTCAGACTACTATCTAGGGGTAGGATCAGTATGAATTCCGCCCAATGAGCTGATTCAAATGCTTGTGAGGTCTCACAAACTCAAGGGTCAATAGAGGGGCCCTAGATGAAAGTTACAATGGCCAAAAAGGTCCATTTAGTTAAACTAACAAATAAATTATGAACATGCATCTTATGAAAGTCTCAAGCCGGTTTAGCATACGAGAAAAGCCTAAACTCAGAACGCATAAGAGATGAAGTGAATAAGTGTACAAATTAAACTGTGATTATAATTGTCATGAGTCAGTCAAGACTTTGCTGATATCTTCTTTCGCTGCTTCCCATTGTTCGAGATTCTTGTGACATATCAAGAGGCAAAGCTGCATGTCAGAAACGTGCGCGACAGCAGAGATTAAGATGAGATCCTACCTTTTTTGAAAGCTGTATGTGAAATCGCGCAAAAGCCAGACACATGTCTTTCAAGTCGGCAACTTTCTGACGTTGAAATCGATCAAGGTCAGCCTGGATCGTCTGAGAACAATATCGCAAGTCAGCAGACGCCGCACGCAGACCGTCTTCGAGCTGAGCAAAAGTGTAAATGTGTTGTGAGCCAAGATAACGTATGACGACATAAGATGGATGAGAGAAGTGGGCTACTGACATTGGTGATATAGTCTTTATGCTTACCTATGCTATTTCGCCTGGAGCTTTCGGGATCAACGTCGGCCAACCCATTGAGAGAATGTCTCAAGGCACCCAAGAAACCTGTGGAGGCCGGTTTTCTGAGTGGCGTGATTAGAGCTGGACCAGATGACCCAATGACGTGATTTGTGGGAGCCACAGTGGAAGAACCATCATCGTCGTCCCGTCTCTGGTCTAGTTGACGTACGCGACTGAGCGCACTCTCTAAACGCTGAGCCTCACCCTCACTTCGTTCTAGGTCTTCTAAAACAAGACGTTTGGTATCGAGTGTATCACGAGCCATCTCGAATTGAGCTTGCTTGAGATGTCGGAACCGAAGAAGATGCTTAATCACATTCGAGAATTGAGCATATTCGTGTAAGGGTTCGGTGAATTGACTTTCCCAGTCTTGCAGCTGTTTCAGAAGTGTGAACGTGATTAGGTCTGGTTTGGTAAGAACGTGATATAAGGCGAGAGGTCACTAGCGCACCATGATGTTGGTGGCGACATAGGTAGCATCTACGGCCTGCCCTGTGCGCTCGATAGCCGTGCTGGTGGCTTCGGCTGCTTCTTGGTTTATGAGCTGCCCATCATTCACCACGCTACCTTCCACCAGTGCGAATCCGTTAAGCACGCCGCCCATTTCAGCTTGATCCACAGCGTGATCAGACCATCGCTTCATGAGCCGACGATTGATTTTCTCTAAGCTTCCACTAAGATGAGCGGAGAATTTTTGAGTGAAGACCTCCGAATCGAGGAAACGCTGGTCTGGGTCCTGGAGGGGCGCCGCCGACGATGAAGGTACAGGTAAGTGAGAAAAGAGGGCTTGGAGATCAGGATTAGAGGGATCATGCGCAGGTGCGCGCAGCGCATTCTTCGGCAACGTCGTTAGCGGGGGTTGATGGAGTACTTCAGACCACGATAGGTCCTCCGCAAGGAATCGCCACAGGACTCGCTCACGACCAAGCACTGGATGACGAACCAGCCGGTTGAGAAAGACTCCGAGCATGCGCCGGCGCCGAGCAACCGTTACGGGGTCTTCTTTTGTTTTGGTCATTGAAGAGGGATGTGAAGCGTAGTCACCTAAAGACTGTAACAAAGATGTATCAGATCAAGGGGATAAGCTCATACATAAATTCTGGAATACGACTCAACTTGCTTGTCGGGAATGGGTGGGACAATCAGAACTGGATAAAGAGAAACTAAAGCAGACCGAAGGGATTCGAATTCGGAATACCGATGTCGCGCCGTACCACGCTAAGCATGGCTCAGTAGATCAGTTTGCTTGAAGTCAAAGCTAATTTTATGAATAGATGCGCAGGCAAGACTACTAACACTACTTTGAATGACGTAAGCTATATACGTAGAAGAGCTTCCCTCACTGGTCTTTACGGCGTCCACAATCTAAACATTTCCAGAGAAAAAAATAAAATTTGATGCCATCGAAAAATTCAATCAATTAGTACCTTGATGACGGTCTCCCCAGTGAAAAGTGACGTTTGATTACTTGAATCTCTTCAACATCTTTCAAATCCCTCAGGGTTGGTCTTCCGCCACGCCCAGGGGTGGTGATTGGTGAGATAGAGATCGGTTTGGGAGCTTCTGATGAATGGGCTGACGAGACCAAGTTGGAAGAGTAGGTGCTAGATGTGTGGTTTGGCGGTGAAATATTAGAGGTAGCCAAACTTAGGTTATAATTGGTAGGTGGGGATGCGTGAGGCAGAGATGGAGGCGGAGATGGAGGTAAAGCGGAGGTAAGCGCAGCATTAGTGGTGCCTTCGTCTCTGAATGGATCGATCGTGTGCTCGATATCCATAATGAGGTAGCGAGTTTTATACAGCTAATGATGAGTGTTGTCCAGTTTGTTGATGGTTTGATAGTTGGTGAATAGTGAATGGTCTTGCATTCTCCTCATGAAGTCAATATGAGATGCCACATCTGACCCGACTCTGGTCCGGGGTATCTGGATCGCTTCACCAAATCCGCTTGGCCACCGGATCTCGCCTCGGGCTACCCCGATGCCAAGGGTTTCTCCGATCTCGACCAAGGCCTGAGCTCAAAAGGAAGGCCTGCACCCGGCCCGCTCTTTACCGGGCCGCCCGCCAGGCGGGCCGGGCCGGGCAAGCCTGAAAAGCCTCAAAAAGGTGTTTAGCCCAAGAGCGCTTTGCGCACCAGCCCGGGCCTGAAATGAGTCAAAGGAGCCTTTTTTTTGTTTTTTTCAGCACAATTCTTGTATATTTCAGGCTGCGAGAGAAGAAAAGACAAGAAAACAAATGAGAAATGAGTCAAAGGAGCCCTGAATCTTTTTTTTTCAGCACAATTCATGTATATTTCAGCCTGAGAGAGACGAAAACACAAGAAAACAAAGGTAAAAAAAATTAAGTAGTTTTTGATGTTTTGATGGAGTTGAAAGATAGAAGAAAAAAATGAAGCGTTTTTTTTGTAAGAGTGAAATAAAGACAAGTTGTCCCAGCTTTTGAGGCAAATCGATGCCTCAAAATTCAATGGATCCATAGTAGCCCGTTCATCTGTCCAGACTCTCCCACCAGCAGAGCATGATCGTTCAGGGGGTGTAGAGGTAGCAGGAATAGACAAGTATGCCAAAGCCATTTGAGCAAGAGTAGGAAATTCACCGGCGTGAAGACCCCAATATTCTAAAGGATCAACACTTTTGTTGGTGCGTCCACTGGATAAGTACATATCAACTTCTTCTTCAACAGTAAGATTTTTTTTACGAGTGATGAAACGACGTGGCCCATCTTCTTCGGGTTCTGATTCAGCATTATCAACATTTTCTGGTTGTCCTTGATGAAAAGTTGCAACCTCCCTGGTAAATTTGGTTCGCAGTTCCTCTCGGTCATACAGGCCAGCCATCTCAATCGTTAATGTTGACAGTTCAAGGAGTTTACTTCGGGGATCAAGGACGTTCGCAAATAGATAAATGGGTTTTTGGAGCGCAGATTGATGGTATTGTTGGAGCTTGATTCTCATCGGTCCTATGGCTGCTCGAAGTGGTTTGTTTGCATTGCCTTGCCAGGCCTGTGGAGCACGAGAAATTGTTAAGAAGATGTGTAAGTGATTTTCAATACTTATGGAAATTGTTTGGAAACATACCTTGTCCAACTTTTCTAAAATCCATTGATAGACTGGGCGGCATCGGCAGTTGTTGGGTTTTGGGAACCTGATACAGTCTAACCCGCGCTGTTGTATACCCGCGCATATGCATATCCAGCCAAAATGCATAGATTTTGGTCTCCACCACGCTGGTGCGGGCCAAAACAAGATTTTAATTGCATATTGCATAATGCATAGGGTCAAAGCAAAAAAAATCATATCTTGGAAGCGGTATTGCATAGGTCAAACCCAGTGATGTGGTGGTGATACTGACAAAAAGCAACAGCAGTTGTGCTTTGGAATGATCAGTGAAGTGATATCACCCACCTCACACAATCTTCAGCTCCCTTAGATCACTTTGCATCTTTCTTCATCATGTCTGCTACTGGAAACAAGGAATTAGCACACATAGAGGGCACTGGTACAGCTTCTGGTCTCAAATTGGACAACTCTTTGCAGAAGTATGCCGAGATGCTTGAGTCCGAGTTTTTTTGGTAACAAAAAACAAGTGGCAATAACTGATTTCTTCCAATGTGTGACTATATCTAACACTTGATTATTGATCGATCTCCACCTAGAAATTACCTTCAAAAATACTTCAATTTCTTTCTTTTTCTACATGTCGTACCAAATAAGCACAAGTCCTCAAAAGTTATTGTTTGTTGACTGCTTTTTGTAACACATTGTATTCGATAAACCATGTTCTTGAAAACAATTGTTTTTGTTTCTTTCTGTACATATCGTACTAAATAGACAACAAATGTCCTCAAAATTGAAAACTTTCTTACTGAAGTTTTCCCACCTTCACCCTCTCTTGTCCCATATGGGTGGGGCAATACAATAACCGTACTAATGCATAATTCTATGCAATACACCCCAAAATCTAAATGCATATTTTTATGCATTTTGGGGGTGTAGGTCAAAAAGCATAACCCGTCTAATTGCATAGGAAAGTGAGTCTCCCCAAATTATGCATTAGCGCGGGTTAGACTGTAGTATCTTTGTAGCGGTGTTAAGCGGTGTGAGAAATTCTAAAAGATGGGCGACCAAATCCCATTCAATTTTGGTAAGTGAAAACTTTGCATATTCTCGATCATTTTTGGTGCAATAATCGATTGCAGCCTTGAGTCGATAAGATCTCTCATGAGCTTCACAATCAGAGTTCCAGCGTGTGTCGACCCGTCTGATAAGTCGAACGTGATCCTTTTCTGGGAGCATACCCTTAACAAGGAGCATAAAAGACTCCACATGTTGTGGAGAAGCCTTGACATAGTTGGTAAAGCCAATCAGGCGAGTTAGAGCGCTGGAGATTCGTTCGGTGTCTTGATGTAGCCAAGCAGCGAGCGCAGGAGGTAATGAAGGGTTTTTGTCGCCTAGTTTCTCGGAGAACACATGAAGTCCTGCTTTAGCGACGAGGTTAATGACATGCGCGATACATCCAAGGAGGTGTTTGTCAGCGTGGAATTGTGGGACTACTTCTTCCACTTTTCTTCCCATGACAGAGTTGTTAGACGTGTTATCAGCAGTGATGCAAAAGAGTTTATTGATTAAATCGTAAGTCTTCAACGTTTCAAGTAAGTGTTTACCAAGATTTTCCCCAGTATGAGGACCGTCGATTGACTTCATTCCGATGATAGCCTCGCACAACTTGAAGTCTTTTGATATCCAATGAGCTGTGACTCCAAGAATCGATTTGTTATGTTGACTCCATCCATCACAAGTGAAATTGACGTGAGTAACGTCCTTGAGGTGATGAGTAAGCAAGCGTCGACCTTTGATAAACTGAGCCTTGAGGGTATTGGTAAAGGTAGTATGACCAAAGAAGTAAGGCTTGATGTTTGGATTGACTAGCATAAACGCATTACGTAGATCCTCAGATTCGACTAACAAGAAAGGAAGCTCTTTATTGACAATGAGGCGTAAGATAGCGGACCAGAAGAATGAATTTGAGAGCTTCTCACTCTTTTGAAGTAGAAAGGAAGAAGCAGGGAATGAGACAAGAATTAAAAGTATCTACTAAGGTTTGAGGTACTTACTGGCGCAATCCGACCAGTTGTGAGGAACTTGTTCATGTCAACTGCTCCTTTTTCAACGTGCGATTCTTCATCCAGGCCGTGCTTGAGCAGGTGTCGACTCATTGATTTTGTACTTTGAGACGAATCAACTTTATAACTCTTGCCACACTCCTTTTCAGGCTCGAGTTGGTAGGTGCAAATGGTCCTCTTCTCGTCTTTGTTGGTGATTGGATCGACAACGGTTTGAGTCTTAAAATATCTCCACACCCACGATGTTTTGCTGCCGGATCCAGAGTTGATTCGATTAGTTAGGTTGCTGCGAGTGGGGCTGGTTGATTGTACGTTGACACTGATACGCGGATGTGAGGTATTGGAATCTACGTCAGACAGTGCAATTGTTGAAGGGATGTGACGTTGGCACGAGGAATGTCCCCCGTCCATGTCACGAGTTCTCTTCGAGATGTCCCGTGAGCAGGAGATGACGTGAGTGGTAAGACAGGCCGTTGTGCCCTGAATGAGCTCACAAGTTCTAGGACTCGTTTACGCTCCTCCTCATTCCACTCTAGAGAGTTGTCCCTCACTCTCGTATCTTTTTCCTCTCCCGCTAACTTCTCCTTCCACATCGAAATCCTACGATCATCTCGAAGATAGCTTGTCAGTCATCGAATCTCCTTTTTTGAGCATGAGGTCGAGCAGAAGGAACCTAGGACTAGGCCCAGAATTTTCTCCCGAGCCTACTCCTCCAAATTCAGATGATTATTTACAAGATTTCGAAATAGAAACAACATTAGAGGAAGAACAACGAATCGCTAGAGAAGATGAAGAGGAAGAAAGAAGATCAAAGAAGACGAAAGAATCAATACTTGAGATAGAAGAAGATGATGTAATCATATCGACTAAAATGAATACAGACGTCGTTTTATCTTCAGACAAATCAGATGGTGATGAAGAAGCTTTAATAGAGATTAAGAGAGGGGAAGCGTCAAAAGGTACCGATAAATCAAGTCAGTTATCATCGATCAACATCTTTTTTCTATAACTGTAATCCTACTTGAGCTTGAATCAAGCGTATGGTGCACGACTCAACTTGAGTCAAGTGTATATTGCAATCAGTTATCTAATAGTCAAGTGTGTATTCACGACTATCCCATCAAGTGGATTATCCACGATGGTTTTTCAGTATCCCATCAAGTGGGGTTATCCACGGTGGTTCTTAAATCCTATCCGTCAAGTGGTCTTATCCACGATGGTTCAATTGCTCTGTCGTCAAGTGGCTTTATCCACGACAAGTCGTTTCATCATCAATTGTAAAACTAATGAATGAGTAAATACAACAATTGAGTGTAATCAAACATCGATTCTAGTGAATAGCAAATGTTGGCTAAAGAGTTTGACTGATGTTGTACCATTGAATTGCTAGGTTTTTTGATAGAACAAGCGAAAGCAGCATTAGCGAATGGAGATGACTTGCTGTTGAATAGAATTCTGAATGCGATGGAACCAGACAAAAATCAAAAAACCAAGAAAGAAATTGAAGAAAACCCGCTTAAGAATTACAAGAAGGGAGAAACTTCTAGATCTGGCTTAAGAGCTTTTAACGATTTTTGGGACGGACATCTAAAGAAAATGGACTACCACTTACCTTTGACCATCTTCAACGAAGAATGGATCGAGTTGGACAAGTTGGTGGCTAGCAATAACACGTCGAAGAAGAAGGATAAGATCCCTGGCCAGATTCCTAGAAAT